CATATATATATTTTAAAATAACTGGTGTTGGCGGCACAATTTGCTCATTTAAAAACCATAAACTGCTCAGCTTTACCATTGCAGTGGTTGACCATAGCCAGCAGCTGCTGAACCGTGTCCGTGAGTACGGCCTGCTGTCTCTGTAGTAAGGTGCTGTTGAGCGTGGAGCTGCCCAGTTCGCCCTGGAGCTGACTGACCAGTCGACTCTGCCTCTCCAGAAGCTCTTGAAGCTGCTGCTTTTCGCTCTGCAAGCCCTGCAGCTCCCTCCCATACCGAGCCTCCAGCGCTAAGAGCCTCTGCTCCAGAAAACTATCAAAGACAAAAAGCAAAAAAAAAAAAAAAATCCAAAAACATCTTTACAGTGCATTGGAGGAAAGTGAAAATCTGATGACTTAATATATCAAGCGTTAAGATGCATCTTAAAGATGAATGATTAGGGTGGCAGGAGATATAAGAGAGTGGGTGCAGGTGGAGAATCCATCCATTCAGCATTTACCTATCTCAGCAGAGGTTGCACAAACTTGCACATTTACATAAGGATGACTAATAGACATCAGCGCGATGGTCTCATCGGGCTAACATCATATAAACACCTGTACTGCAGCGGCATTCACAGATGGGCCTGCATGCTAAGCCTCTCGATCATAGCCATGAGGCAACAGTCTGACTCCGTTTGTGTGTGTGTATGTGCACAAGTGCCACTCCCCCCACCTCCAAATGAAGATCATAAATCCCTGCTGCCTGATCTTTATGGCTTTGACTAACGACTGTGCAGCAGTTATTTATTGAAACAATCCAGCCACCCAGATTGAACAAGCTACTTTTCAGGCCTGTGCACATGCAGCCGCTGCACTAAACGCCTATCCTCAGTCTCCCACTTTAGGCAGCAGCTCAGTATGTGGCCTGAAAGGAGAGCTGGATCAATTCAAATCATTTTTTAAATCACTTTCATTTCATATTTTCTTTGTGGGGGAACACTCAATGAAAGTGGCAAAGCAAGCTAACAAATTGTTCTCCATTATGTGTGTTTTACTTTGAGGAACAGTCAAAGTGTAGAGTGCGGCGGTAAACCAGCACAGCAATGTTTAAACAGTTAGACGGTTTGACAGAACAAACATGGCACTTTGGATCACACTGCACCCTGGGCAATTAAACTGTTATGCTTATGATCTTGTGCTATTTATTATTATTGTAATATATATATATTGCTATTAGACTGCTCCCACCGTCTCTCCACAAAAGCAGCACTTCCTGCCAATAGTATTTTACATGTAATGCCTATGAAAACAAACATGCCTCTCTGCTCTTTGTAGTTGGCAGCAGTTCAAAAACTGGCTCCATGCCCTGAAGGATCAGCAGCAGTAGCCCCCCACAACCACTACAATTCCCTTCTATTCCACAGCTGCAAACCTACTATGACCTCTCTAATTTCATGCGTCCCGTCATGGTGTTTACCCTTGTGGAGATGTATTCATTTATTTGCGTGTCAGAGCCATGTCACCGACTTGAAGGACGAGGGCAATAAGGGCAGAGTCAGGCCAAGCAGGGCCAGATGTGTAACAGGTGTTGGAGCAGGGGCACTGTGTTCTCCCAGTCACACTTGGTACAGATCGATGGAATGATAAACAAGCAGATACAAAGAGAGAAAACACCCGCTCCCTTTCACGCCGCCCAGCACCCTGTCTTTAACCTCTGCTGGCCCTAATCTGACCTTGTGTTCCTAGAGAGAAGAATGGGGAAACCCCTCCTAACACGCACTGCCTATTCACTGGCAAACACACACACATGCTCACACAATGTGCATTATGTAGTCGCTAAGTGCCCTGTTTTTCTTTTCCAGCTGTGCATGAAAAGGACCAGTTGTATACATGTACATATACAGTATATCACACTTTTGAAAGCCTTTATATTTTGCCACCCAGTGTAGCTATTTCCTGAGAAAACATGCTCTCAGGAAGAGTTGTGTGCTATGTTTCCTACAGCAGCCACACCAGCTCATTTAGAATCACTAAAGGAAAAGCAGCAACTGAGCAGGCAAAGAAAATAGCGCCACCTACAGTAACCAAATCCTCACTTACAAAAAACAGATTTTCGTAGGTGCAGTTTTTGACTGCAACCCAATTGTAAGACTAAATGTTGCCACTGCACATTTCTTCAAAAAATCACAAATGTTTCCATAATTTCCGGCTTAACGGACATTTCTAGTATTTTTTATTTATTTAACTTATGCCAACAACTTGACATAAGTTAGCATTTAACGACTCATCTTCAGATTTTCAGCGAAGCACATGGGTAGTTCCACCAGTAGTATAGTGTTATCAACCTCAGCTGGCCAATAAGAGCTGAGTGGGGAGGGTCTAAAAACAGCATGCACACACACACACACACACACACACACGGACAGGGTTTCAATAGGCTGACCAAACGTCCTCTTTTGCCCGGACATGTCCACTTTTCACGTCCTGTCCGGGGCGTCCGGGAGGTGTTTATAAATTGATGATAATGTCTGGTTTTCCTTGTGTGTGTGTGTGTGTTTGTGTGTGTGTGTGTGTGTGTGTGTTAGAGTGTGGCACGGGCCGCATATTTCTGTCCATATTCTGACCTCCGTGTTTGAGACGGGAGCGGGCGGCGGGAGGTCCAAGACTTCCAGCGAGGGGAGAGGGAAAAATATAACAAAATAAGATAAAATAGGAAAAACCTGTCTCCCTCTTTTATTTTATTTTCAGCGTTTAATCAAGGTGGAGGCGGGCGGCTGGAGGTCCGAGTCTTCCAGCGAGGGGAGAGGTAGAAACAAACAGCCAGTGTGTGTCTGTGTGTGTTATGTTCAGGTGTTGTCACGTAAATAACAGTGCCCAAGCAATAAACAGGACAGACAATAGGATTTTATTTATTTTTACACTACATTTTCACTGAAAGCTGACCGAATCTGACCCGAGCCCAAATACAATTTATACATTTTTCACCGAACCCGGCCCGACCCGTCGGGTAGGCCTACCGTCGGGTGCCGTCTGGCTCGGATCGGGTAGCCACACTCTAGTGTGTGTATGTGTCCCCTATCTATAGGGGCCTGTCTGAATTTCTGTCTTTGAGAGATATTATTTTGTAATATAACTGAATTTTCTATCCATATAAATAAACTTTAAATATATTAAAATTATAAGGCATCTCAAAATATGGTCACCCTAGGTTTCAACACACACTACTTCCAAGCACATGTTGTTTAGATGTCCATTACAGCCTAATATTCAAATCAGTGTGGGTGAATGTGCAATAGAAATGGACAAATGAACTGCGTTTGAATGATTAGCTTGTGTTAGCTTGACCACCAGCTATCGGACACTGAGAGATAACAGCATGCCGTGTGCATTTTGTGCAACAGGTGGATGCGGTAGTCTACCGGTAGAGTAGTGCGAGAGAGCTAAGTAGCGTTGAAGTAGAGTAGAGAAGGGCAGAGAGATGGAAGCAAAATTTATTAAACCCAGTGTTCATACAGCAGAACTGGAGAGAGGGGCGAAAAATAAATGGAGGTGGGCATGGCTTGAGGAGGAGGGCGCTGAGGGCAAACCATTTAATACATGGTGCAAGAAGTTGAACGAGCCAGGTGCTGCATTTTGCGTTGGCTCTTCGAAGAAATTGATGTATGGAAACAGTGGCAAAAAGGTTTTCCATCGTCACGAAACCGACCCAAATCACGTTGCTGCAATCCGTGCCTTAAAAAAATAACACCATGCTACCTGGGACGACTGCTACGGCCGCAACGGCACCCTAGGTGACAGACCGTGTGTGTGAGCAGAAAATTCGGGTGAGCTCCACAGCCTCTGCTGAAGCACCCAGAGCACCCTTGAAAAGGAGTGCCTTTGAGAACTTGCAGGACTTTGTTTACAAGCCCAAAAGAATGAGAGAATAAGTGAAAATGGCATCAATTCTTGCATTTTGTTTCTTTTCTAAAACATAATTTAACCATTTGAAAGAAGAGCAAGTTTTCTCTTTGCACGTGTTTGCACTATAGTTGTTACGTTAAGTAAACTCTGCTCCCAACCACCTTTTCACTTTAAGCCCTGCATGTATATGTTTAATTTTTAGCAAATATATTGAAACTTTACCTTTCTTTACACTTCAGTTTTTTGTGTTGTGACAACACTGTGGTAAAACATAAACTGACTAACTAAACTACACAACAACCACCACTGGACATATGCTGACCTCCCCTTGAAGATCACCTAGTTGTTGTTGCAACAACCACTGCTGGAAATGTGCTGACCATGCCTTGAAAAATCCCCGGTTTTGTCACCCCACACCACTGGAAATATGACGCCCTTTCCTTAGAAAATACCCAGTTGTTGTCGCAACAACCGCTGCTAAAAATGTGCTGACCTCACCCTCACAAAACCAACTTATTGTTGCAACAATCACCGCTGGAGTTGTCAAAATGAGCCATTAAAAAGCACAGCTGGAAATATGGTCTGCTGCTTGGTAGCCATCTCGCTCATACACATGTAATCTGAACTACATAACTTAAGAAACATTAACATGATACGTATGACACGTACACCATGCAGTGTGTCCGTGATTTGCAAAACGTCCTACGCCAACATTTTCTTCTTGTGACTGGGGTGATGACTGATTTTCTGGGAAGTGAAAAGCAAAAATAACAGCAGAAATGACTGCGGAACACGACCTTGTTTTAAAATGAGAGAATAAGGGCCTCATGAATTACCACTTAGGGTAACATAATGGATCTGAAAATGAAGTGCCTATACACAATAACAGCTTACCCTGGAAGTCCTGCAGTGCCTTAATATGTACTTGCCTGAATAATCTTTTGAAGGGTGCGTTTCTAGTGCTCACCTGTTTTTATCACTGAGGCGTGAGATCTCCTGAGTCTGCAGGAGAATATGTTTCTCCAGCCGGTTAGTAAAGAGCGAGTACTCGAGCAGCTGGATCTCCAGGCGACTTGTCTGGTTTAACACCTATAGATTGATAAAAACAGAAGAATAACTTTATCACAGTGTGTGCAGTGATGAAGAATGGATTGGAGTGATGAGGAGTGCTGATGAAATGATTGATGGGGGGGGGGGGGGGAAGGCTGCCCACCAGCTGAATTCATTAACAGCACCCTTGGGGATAAACAATGTCGCAAAGCACATCACAAGGCTCATAATGCTCATTCTTTGATCTCACAATGAAAACTTGAGCAGGAATTATCTCACATGCACCTGCGACATGTTTTGAAGTTGCAGATGAAACAAAAACTTGAACAAAGCATCACAGATATTTGTACAGGTTGCGGTTTTGTATCGACTTTGATAAGAGTAAAAGAAAGCACGAGGACCAAAACAGCCCAATCTGTAATAACAGCTCTGTGGCATGATTGAAGACACATCTGTGTTGTGCTTCTGAGCTTTATGTTTTAATTGGCTTGTTGTCAGACGCCGAGCTCAACTCACTGTGTCAATCAGAGCCTGTGGAACCAAAATACCAGCTGTTTTAAAGCGTTTGCCGCCACCTTTGGGCATGGCCTCTCTGCAGGTTACATCTGATTTACATTTAATTAGCTATTCGCCAAGTGGTTTTGCAAGTGACATCATTTGTTTTTGCATTGGTCTGACCTCCACAGTTGTTCATTTGGATTGGCTGCAAACAAGTTGTCTCAGGCTCGCTCAAATGCTTCCTGACGGGCTCACCTGGGTCTCAACGTCTGTCAGTTTGCGAGTCTGCTCCGCTGATTGGCTGAGGAGGTTGGTTCCCATCTCCAGCATGGCAGCTGTCTGGGTGTGTACCGCAGTTCTTTTCATTTCCTCCATCCCAGAGCGCACATTCTCCTGGATGAAGTTCTCCAGCTGTAAGGAGAACAAGCAGACTGTGAGAATATTATCCAGCATGTCAGATTCCCTAGTTTCATTGTGGTGATATTCACATTTTAGGAGGTAATACATTCACTGACAGCTTGATGCACTGTGAAAGTAGCAGACTTCGAGTAATCCGTCTTCTTCACCCCGATCCTTTCAGGTACTCTGATGGAGTCATGGAATATAGTACCCCCAGGGCACTTGCAATGTCCTCACCACCCATCTATCCATCTGCGGGTCTACCTCAGGCAAATACCAACCCCTTACATTAATAAAATGATGCACTGTACAGGCATTTCAGTGAGATTTCAAAAAGTGCAGTAAAGGCTGACATGATGATATTCGTGCGCAGACTTCAGGGATAATCGCCTACATTCTGTAATCAGTCACCAGGTCAGAGAAAGAATCATTGGCAGAACCCATCATATGTTGCAGAGGGAGTAAAAATAGGTTGGTATCCATCTTGGTCCAATAAATAGATTTTCTTATTAATGTGGTCGGTTTGAGCAAACGGCATCTGGAAGACAAATTTGCCTCTGCCTGCCGTGAACGATGGAATTTTGTTTGACGTTTAACGGGCAATGGCCTGTGCCTTGCAATAAAGCAAAGTAGAATATCGAACCAGAGAAACATTGATATTTATGACTTTTGCGGGGAGGAAAGATCAGACTTCACTCGTTAAACCACATGACTGGAAAATGAAGTCTCTAAGGAGAAAGCATTCAGAGTTATCCAGCTAATGAGTGGCTATTCGCAAAAATCGAAGAGGATCCAAATGAGACTCCGATTGTTTGTTTTTTCAATACAAATGCCCATTTCAGAGAGGAATGGGATTATAATAATGCACTGCCACAGGAGAGGGCTTTTTCTATCTTTTATGCGGTATAAAAAATACTGATCCGAGCGGGCAAATAGAGATGAATCTGCAATTAAATTGTTTGCCTGCTAGTAATCTTTCTCTCTTTGTCTTTTACTTCCTCTTGATCTCTCTCACTAACTCCCTCTTTCTTTCCAACACTCCCTCTTTCTCCCTCTTGCTCTGTAAATCCATCTCTCACATTTTTGCTACTTAAGGACAACTGAGACAGCAGACAGAATCCCCTCATAACGAAGGTTATGAAGAGATTACCAAACGGATTAAAGCCAACTCCAAAAGGAAGAACCAAAGATCCCCGCATCATAATCAGCCTCGTGTATTGAAGCTGCTATCAGCCGCCTGACCAAAGTGTTCCTATTACAGCCTTGTGTGATAGAGCTCAATCCAGAGGTCTTGATACACTCCATCTCCCACTGCCAATTGCATTAATTACAGCTCTGTCGCACGCTGCACTGCGCAGCCAGATAAATCACATTTGGGATGTAGCATAATTCTGTCTTATTGTGTCTAAGAGGGAGTAGGGAGCTGTGCTGAGAAAATCATTGGAGTTGTATCACATGATATCTTAATTGTGGAGCCAGTGGACATGTTTGTTCTCAGTTACAATTAAAGAGAAGAAGGGAAACATATCTGCTGAGTGTTATAGCAAATGATAATGATTAATCAGGATGGCTATGATTGTGACATAGGAATGAAAACATCTTCATGAAAGAAGTGATGTGGTTGTTTCACTGCAAAACCATGTAAATCCACTTTTCAGCAGGGAAAGATGCATTCTTGGCCTCAACACACACCAAAATGATAGGAACACATTTTCTCACTTACTGCTCACGATGTCTAACATGCTGATAGCTTTGGTTTTATTTGGATTCATGCCTCCACCCATGTGAATTAAATTTTGGTTTTGGTGGCCACAGCATTTTATGATGACATTTACAAAAATCAAATGCGACATCTCTTTTGAGAAACAATCTCCCTGTCACTCTGGGTAATCCGCAGATCTCACTGTGAACAGTTTTCATTGGAGCTGCTTTTGTCTCCATTGAAGAGGTTCACAGAGTGTTCTGTAGATTATCCAGAGTAACAAGGATGTTGTTTCTGTAAAGAGATGTTGCTGATGTTTTGGGGTTTTTTTGGACTTTAATCAAGGGATGGTAGTGTCAGTCTCGCTTCAGTCTCCACTGAAATATCTAATAAAATCAGTGGATGGTGTTGCCATGCCATTTTCTCCAGACATTCATGGTCCCCAGAGCAATCTTAATGACTTTATGATCCCTACAGTTTATCTCGTGACACCAGCCGGTCAACGTTTTCATTTATCCAAGTCAGCAGATAGTGTATGGATTGGGATCATACTTTGTGCAGATATTTATGGCTCCCAGATGATATGTCCTCCATTAGTGACTTTGGCAATCCCTTGACTTTTCCTCCAGCGCCATCATGTGTTTGTTTGAGTGAAATGTCTAGACAACTACTGAACAGATTGTCGTTAGATGTGCAAATGTTATCATGCTAACACAGGAAGCTCAGATGGTTAACATGATAAAAGCTGTACCTGTTAAACATGAGCATGTCATTAGCATCATCATTGGTAGCATGTTGTTGTTTGCATGTGGACATTAGCATTAAGCTCAAAGGACAGTCTTACAGAAACGTTATCGGTGAAGATTCTCAGTCATCCAGGTCATGGTAATCGTAGGTGCTAATATCGTAGGGAACTGGACTTGCTTGCATTTCTTGAAGACGTTGCACCTCTCATTCAAGAAGCTTCTTCAGTTCTAAATGACTGGTACGAAGTTGCAGGCTATAAACCTGTGTGGGTGGGAATCCTTGCAGAGGCATAGGGGTCACGTGAGCTCTTAGTTTCAGAGTCGTTAAGGTCACAATGTGAGTCGTTGACCCACCTGGCCACCATGTGGGTCGTTAGGGCATTTAGAACTGAAGAAGCTTCTTGGATTAGAGGCGAAACGTCTTCAAGAAATGCAAGCAAGTCCAGTTGCCTACGATATTAGCACCTACGATTACCATGACCTGGATGATTAAGAATCTTCACCGGCAAGTTGCCATTCCCTGGTCCCACCTGACTCTAACGATCCATTTTCCCATATATTTGTGTCTTGGTGACAAATGGGAATGCATTTTTGAAATTCCGCTATTGAGCGAGAGCATTGCAGCAAAACAGGCAGCAATGTAACCATCTGGGGCATGTCTTCACCCTCAATTTCCATCCACTAGAAGTGTTTGTGTTTTCCACTGACAGTCTCAGATTATTATTCTAAATGTCAAACCACATTATGGAAAGGATCACTACAGAGATAGACCTTATTATTAAAGAGAAAAATCCTTTTTTTAAAACCAGAAACAGCCCAGAAATTAGCATTGCCAATTCCACCAGACTCCATTGAATAAACAATGATCATTGTAGCGTGTATAGCACTGGCATGTTTTCACATCTAACTGGGTGAATTAAGGGTTTATTTCAGCTTAACTGGAACTGGTGATTGATTAAACAGCGGAAAGATGAACCAAGATAGTTTTTGTGTTTTGTTATGTTTCTGTTGACTTCAAATGAAGTGTGCTTTACAGTGATAAAATCAATGTTGTTTTTTTTAATGGAGTCTGGTGGCTTTGGCGAAATCAATTTCAGGTTTGTTTTCGACAAACACAAAAGATCTTAGGGGCCGATCACACCTACAGGTGGCGCTAGAAACGTGGACGCTTCAAAGACGCTTGAAATGCCTGAAACGCCCTTGGTGCTAGTGGCGCCTGTAGAGTGGGGATGCGTGCGCAACCGGGCGATCAATACATTGAAAATGGACCCAAGACGGAGCTATGGTGCTACTGGCACCTGATGCCCAAAAGTTGAGATTATTTCAACTTTCAGCATCTAAAAACAGGCATCTAAAAAGACGCCAGAAAGACGCTTGTCATAAAAAATGCTTGAAAACCAATCAGACGCGTCATATCATAGGGAATCAGATGTTTTACTGGCGTATCGTTTCTAGCGCTTCTTGTAGGTGTGATCGCCCCCTTACTCTTTAACAAAAAGGTCTATCTCTGGAGGTATCCTTACCATAAATTGTCATACAGTTAGTGCTAGTAATCTGAGCATGTCAGTGACAAAAACAAGCACTTTAAGTGGGCATAAATTGATGGTGCTCAATTGCCCGCAGGGATTACATTGCAGCATGTTTTGCCTCTGCAGGTTGCAGCGCTCTCTGTCAATACTGGACCTTTTCAAAAAGTATTGTTCCTATTAGTAACTTAGACACAAAAACAGGGCCCAGGTTGAAAATACAGAACTTATACTTTAAGATGTTTTAAAGTCAATGGTCATATTTTGAGAGTGGTTCAAGACAGAGAAAGGGGTTGTGTGTTTAAGAAATAAAAGAAAATAAAGACCAATGAATATTGTGAGTAATGTGGGTGACATGCCTTCTAATGAAATATTACTGAGCCAGAAAATCAGGTCACCTGAGGGTAGCCGAGCCACCTTGATCTCTAGGCAATATTTCTGCATTAGCATAATCCACACAGTCTCTTTAAAGCACTAACAAAAGCATGCTCACATCCTTTTTGCCAATCCCCCAGGGCAGCAGAAGGCCAAAGAGGCTGGATGGGGGGCTGCATTGGGGGTTAGAACAAAAGGAAACAAACACTAGTTTCTTCTTGGAAACACCAAAGAAGGAATCTGGAACATTAATGCAGTCCTGTTGCACTCGTCCTCTTGGAGATTCCTCAGCGGAACATGCTGGATCAGTGTGTGTGTGTGTGTGTGCGCGCGCTCCTGAGTTTGTGTTTTTGTGTGTGGGTGTGTGTTTTCTTTCAAGGGGTTTGAGTGGAAGGCTCACAGTAAGGGTCATATCATCCCAGGGGAGCTTTAAGTGAGATCGTGCAAAGTTTCACAGGCACACCAACACAGTTGCCTCGAGCCCTTCCGCATTCATATCACCAATTTCTCCCCAAACTTATGCAGATAGGCTTAATGAGCTCCACAAGGTGCTGAAAGGGCTTTGCCATCTGCGGGTCAAAGGTTGGTATAACCTCCTGCATTTCTAAAAGAGGCTCTCTGGGGTCGTGCTGTGTTTATGAGGAAATCCCACCTACAGTGTCATTTATGCATCACTATGGCCTGGTGGGGGTAACTTGCTGAAAGTTTGGATCTTTGTGTTCATTCCTGACATTATGTGGAAGAAGTTTGGCAACAGAGCAAGATATGTGTCAGCAGAGCTTTTTCTGTAGATGGGGGGGGGGGGGGTTATCACTGCACCCTCCTTCATCTCAACAGCTCTGGTGTGGAGGGAGTGAAAGGAAGCGACTGCATGCTGCACAGAAAACGCTCAAGATGAGTGCAATATGTGATGCTTTGCAGACTGTATTCATGAATAATATACTGTCTCTCAAACACACGTGCAGTGTGGCCTCATGTGATGCTTCCTATGGAAGCTACGTCTCCAGTTCATAGACTGAGCATCAGACAGAGTGCGCACAGGGGAATTTTGTGTGTGTGTTTTTCTGGATGCATGTCGAGAGAGCGTGAGCAAGATACACAAAGAGTTTGAGATCTGGTGGTCGACAAGTCAAGGTGTGCGAAGGAACACATTCGTGATCCCAGAGGTGCAGAACGGTCCAGATAGAAATGAAGGAGATGGAGTGTCAAAAGGAAAAGGAGGCTGGGGAAAGGAAAGGAAGGACGCAGACAATCTCATGATGGCTGAGAGTGGGGAGTGACAGACGCACAGGAAGAGCTTTGGCATTCATAATACCCCATTTCTAAATCCTTAAAAATATAATAGACATGTTTGCTCTCAGCCAGCCAATCTAAACACTCGACACAAACCCTTATAATCGGCCCGGGGATTAGTGTATACCATAAATATTCCGTGAGTGATGCAGACAAGAATAGAGAGACGGGTGGAGAGGGTTGGCGTGTCAGTCAGTCTGTCCTAGACAATGGCCCAACACTGATTCCGTGCCCTGATGACCTTAGCTATGAAAACACTATTGTGAAGCCACTTTTAATCGCATCATTTCATTTTAGTCAGTCATAATCCGCACTAAATGGAACTGCAAAGGCCAACAGCCATGCTGAAATGTGTCTCCAGCAGATAAACAAATTTTTTTTCACCGAGGAACTTGTTATGTTTTGTGTCAGCTGAGTCGGGTACACAAAGTTTTCAGCTGACTTGGGCTTATAATCGGGCTACAACACAAATCAAGAGTGAAGTTTCTGAGTTCTTGTTGCCTGTGGGGTAACAATACTAATTTAGAAGGTTTAACTGTGTGAGACGTATTTGGCAATGTCTGATATTAGCAAACTTATTTCATCTTGTCTTTCTCCTCTTGCATGCAACAGGGAGTTCTGACATCCCAGTGGTCTTAAATATACACTCGTACACCAGGCGTTGACATGGAGCCAGACATACATACAGCAAGCATCCAGGAAATCCCAGCTAAGCACTGAACTTATCAATAATGAAGGCTTGTCAACAGATGTTATCGGATGGTATACTCCGCGGACATCTTATGTTTTTTTCCCAGCATTTTGTTTGATGGTCTGCAGGCTAAGATGTGACATGTGAAAAGGACGAGCAGAAGTGCATGTGACAGCAGAGAGGTAGAGTCACAATTGTTGGATGACAGAGGACAAACAGTTCAGAGACCTCACCTTCTGCAGCCACTGGGTGTTATTCTCCATGGCGCTCTCTAGATTTTCGAGCTTCCTCTCCTGCCAGGAAGGCCTCTCCTTTTGGGCCTTTCCCGGCTTGGATTGGCTTGACTCAGGCTCTGCCTCAGGCGGGGAGTCCCTCTGGAGGGTGTTGGTGACCTGGAAGTCTTTTAATGGATGGCAGTGCTCCACCTCGGGGAGGATGAAGGTGTAGCTGCAGGGGCCGTGCTGCACGTGGTGCTGTTGGCGCTCCGAGGCGATCACGGTGGCCAGCAGGTAGGCCAGGTGGGCAAGGGTCAGGGCCAGCAGGCGGCCCATGTCAGGGGAGAGGGAAAGGGAAGGGAGGGAGGAGAGGGAAGGAAGGAAGTTGTTCCTCCTGGCAGAGCAGAGAAGTGAGTCAGGTGAGTTCCTTCTTTGGTCCCCTTTACCTCCTATTACTTCTTCTGTCTGCTCTTTAAAAAGTCCCTCTAGATTCCGACTCTGTCTTCCCCCTGTCTTCTCAGTCCAATTCCTGCTGCTCCTGTCTCTGTTTTATCACTTTCTCCTCTTTTGGCTGGTCCTCCTCTTTGCTGCTGCATCCAGAAGTCTTCTTCAGCCCAGTTCCTGCTCCCGCTGGTGAGGGCGGACAGAAAACACACACAGGAAAAGGGGATTGCCTCCTATTGTAACTCCAACACCCAAGTCCAGGAAACCAACAGCAGACTTCCCTTTCACCATTTATCTCTCCTCTGAAAAGTTGCCTTACCTCACTGCCTTCTTTTCAAGCTGCTTGAGTCCATGCGTGGGTCCGGAGGAGAGGGGAGAGGAGGGGGTGGAGTGGAGTGGCCCACTTCAGGATGTTGGCTGAAGTGGTAGAGAGAGAGAGTGGCGTACCTCTCCAGACACACATGCACACACACACATGCACCTCCTTCTCACATAATCACTCAACCACCCGTCCCTCTTTCACTTTCTCCCACCCTCTTACGATACTCCTGTTTGCGGGGGTTAGAAGAGGAAGCTACAAAAAACACACACTGCTCGCCACAAAAGCAAAAACTAGGAACTTTCTCCAACAACTTTTTGCTCCCTCCCACCTCTCTTTCCTTTTCTCTCTCTATCTATATCTCCTTTTCTCTCTTTCTAAAATTTAAAATTGCTTTATTGCTATAACCTTAATAACCATAAGTTCAGGACTGCAAAGGCATGCTGTCCAAGGTTTAAAGTGTATCTTCAAAAAGTAAAATAATTTAGAATGTCAGTAAAATAGGTGTAGTTGCTTGATTGTTCCAGAAGAAGGCTGTGAGATATGGTCAAAAGCTCTGGGAAAAAGCTTGTAAGTGAACCTTCAGTCTAATCACCAACCCCCTTTACACCTGGCATTCAAATGTGTCTTGTATCCAGATTGTGTCTAGATATGATTGCATTAACACATGGTATTAAATTGTCTCCAGTGTCCACATTGAGAAGTGATTAAAATCGAATAGCCCTGTTCAGCTCAAACAAATGAACATTACTTCACCATTTGCTTTATAAATGGCTCTATTGTGATATTAATTACCAAGTTTTGCTTGTATAAGTTCATAAGACCAAATTGAAAGCAGACACCTGGTTTCGTCTTGACTCCATCCACAAGTGTCTTCAATATGCATGAGCTTTCTAGTGGCTTTCTTGCTAGTTGTGAAACTCTGGCTGCTACCTCCTTGGTTTGGAATAGTCAGTTTGGATTAGGTATTTCCACCAATGCAGTTGCTGCGTGTGGATTGAGAGCATAATTGCATTTACACTTGTGTTCAGTGTGGTCACAATGTGTCCCTGACCACCTCTGGAAGTAGTTTGACCGATTGGATCAGTCTGTCCTCAGTGCGGTTTGGGTCCATTTACAGCTATTACGACATTACTGTTCTACATAGTGATGAGGAAGCAATTCTTACAAAGAAGGTATTAAAAGAAAATGATTACAATGAGGGAGTTTAACAGTGTGATGTAACAGTGACAGTGAGAACCATGAGCGGAAAGATGACAAAAGTAAAAAGCAGGAGACAGATTTTGAGGTGTTGTTCAGCTGGTTTTCCCTCAGGCTGTGACATGCTCCGACATATTTTGCTGCTTTCATGGCAATGTCAGTTTTTCCCAAAGTAGATATTGAATTTTGTCTCAGTCTGAGAGTGTGTCAAATTGTTGGTATTGAAGTTTTGTTTTGGTAAAGAACTCGGGTCCTCTGTTTTCACACACAGACTGCAGTGTTGTTCTGTCTCTCCCTCTTGTTGTTGGCTGAACTAACACTGTCTGTTTTCTCTGGTGTGTCAGGTTTGTTTGTGTCCACCTCTCAGTCTGTATTTAATTAATGTGTTTAGTGGAAGTCAAACTCAAAATTTATTTTCCCTCACTTTTTTTGAAAGGAAATATGACTGTAGTGATACTGCAGCTATTTTGTTCTGTGTTTTTTAAGGCATATTTGTCCAGCTTACATCTGAGAGATTTAATGCACTGCTGAATGGAGCATGTCGTATAGTCTGTAGATGCTTATACAAGGAATTTCTACCTTTTTCATCAAGCCCATACAGCATTGGCTGTCAACTATTAGTGATTTTAGCTATCTCTTCATTCATTCAGCATTTGAACCAAACCATTGTGCTATTAAGTTTGTATCCCTGCTGAAAAGTTGAAGCAAGTAGGCTAACTAGCTTTCTCTCTTAAAGCAGAAGATGGTTAGTCTGCCTAACGTTAGGGAGCTAGTCACCCTGTGCTGTTTGTCCCAAAGGAGAGGACTCTACCTACCAATGGCTGTCTCTTTTTTCTGGGTTCGGTTGTTTTAATGTCAAAACTGTCACCAACAGGTTGCCCTGTTGGCTAAACTCAGCAATCTGTGTTTTCAGTCAGGACTCAGACTAATGAGGACGGTGCTGAAATCAAAGATGGGATTAAGCAATGCCTAAAAATGTCACCTCCATAGCTAGTTACCTGTCAGTGTGTGGCCATTGGAACTAAAGCAATTTTATTGTTTATTAATTTATTCCTATTACAATCAACGTTTAGTGCCCACACAGACGTACCGATTAAATCAGTGGTTCCCAACTGGTGAGTCTCAGTCCAAAAGTTGGTAGGGGGTCCTTTCTGAAAGGACTTGCGAACGTGTCATGTTTGTCAACTGTATTTTGAAGAACAGTGAATTTCCGGCACGGAGCTTTTATTTTAAAGTGCCTTAAAGTTTCCTGCTGTAGACTGAGTGACTGACGGACAGCTACTTGGCAGAGACCGTAAACTAGCTCAGCAACATGGCCAAACACAAGTATGACACTGAATATAGGAAACTTTGTGATGACATCAGAGAAATCTGGTGTCCGTGGCTGGACCAGGTGGGAACCACTGGATTAAATTACAGGGACTGACGCCATCAATCTGCACCAAAATTCCCACCACATAAGGAATTACTTGACTTGTGACTAGTGGGAATTGTTTAAATTTCATATATATATATATATATATATATATATATATATATATATATATATATATATTTTCTTAGTTGCCATACACTTACAGTAAAGCCATATTTTCCGACGTTTTTGAGGCATCTTGGAATGCTGTACTGCCAACTCTGTGAAATGCACTGTGCTAGACTGTATGGGTTGTAGGTGCTGCAGTAGTGGACCAATCACATGTTGCAATAACACTTGTAGTAATTGGCTGTGCACAAAACCGTGCAAATAGACTTTTGTTTCTAACTGGGTAACAAAAGGATCAAATATAGGTATCGTCTGACTGGAGAAGTTTCAATAAACCAAGTACTAGTACTGATCGATAGTCCTGGGTTATTTCAGTTGACACCTTAAAGGTATCAAGTACAGATACCCAGCCCTACCTGAGATGAAATAACCAGCCAACACAAGTCAGAATCACCAGGAATATATAGAGAGATACTAAGCAAAAGTAAAGGTCAAGGTTAATGTCTTTTACAGTTAAACAGTCACTTAGTATATCGTCTTTTTGGTGCTAAATAGCGTTGTTAAGCAAGTTCACATTGGGTTTTGTTGTTCAGAGATTGATGTACTTTTCTTTTCTTTCTCTCTATAGGCTTTGGTTGATCCAGACTGATAGAGGAGATGAGCCTCAAGAGTGACTGGATGAGCTTCACAATGGAAGGAGGTGGAATCAGTGGCTTTTGAGTGTTTATAGATTTTATTGCTCTTTTTGAGTTGGTAATCAAAGGTAGATATCAGCCCAATTCAGCTCGGCATCCACTCTTTGTTCTGTTTTGCTCTCTGTCAGCTAAACCTGCCTCTGCACCACTTTCCATTTCCTCCATCTACACCATTATGGTTTCATTCATATCGCTTCTATTTTCTGATGCATCCTAAATGCCCTCCCGGCCTTGTCTCCCGCTGGGTTATAACAGATTCAATCACACTGCTACACAGATTGTCCACTTAATCATAGTCTGAATGGATGTAGTCACAGCAGGCCACCAAACACACTCTTAGTACATTCTGTTTTTTTCTTCAATACTCTCTTGTGACATTGATCAAGTACCACTGACTCAAACAAGCAAAATAAAAACTCTCCAAGGATAGCAAGGGAGGAAGTTGCCCTGTCATACATCCGACATGAAGGCTGTTTGTTTGCTTCCTGTGATCAATACTCCCAAAGCAGAGCAAACCAATATTAGACTTTCAAATGTTCTCTCTTCCTTGGTTCTTTTTTTGTGCTTTCCCCCATGTTAATATTGCATTAGGAGACATATGTACAGTATGAAAGTTATCTTAATCTTGTAGATACTTGTCATGCACTGCAGACTCTCAGCCCTTATCGCTGATGAGCATTCCACACTGCCACTGTTGTGTGGACGCCTAATGACCCAGCAGCTTTAGAGCCCAGTGTGTGGCCCCATCACTCAGCATACCAGTGACTTGGATCTATAGCGATATGCATCAGTTCATATCCATACATGCAGTGTTTATACAGCACCCACCTTGCGGGCACAGCACGTTTGATTGATTTTCATTAGGAAATTAACTTCATTGCATAGATTATGGGGCTGATTTCAAAAGCAGAGCTGTCATCGTTTGATGTGCTCCCAGTGAAAACAAGTAAAACAAAGAATGTTTTACTTGAGCCTCATGTGGTTTTCTTTTCTTCTGCGCAGTGTCTCACTGTAGACATTGGTCAGACATCAAATTGACCTGAATACTGATTAAATTAACTGACTTCCAACTACTGTTCATAGCAGGAAGAATTCCCTGTAGTACCTACTCTTGCCATGGATAATAATAAGATGTCACTCTTTGTCCTGTGCAGTTGCGAAAATCTGGAAACTTGAGTATGAGTAACATGAGATAATTGAAAAAGAAGTAGTTTTCCCACTGAGATGATTTATGCACAAACACAAGTACGCTGCTGTTTTTATATATAAAACATATATTCACATGTGAGGCTCGTCTGAGATGAAATGAAAGATGGCTACAGCAAGTGTATTGGGTAACAGGACGCAACAGAGTAATGATTTCGTGCAAGCTCCCTGACACTGTAATACCCAGAGGGGAGGCTCTGAACGCTGTTCCCCTTGTGGCCTCTTTTCTTGAAAATAAAAAGAGCACATTCGCTTTTTATTGCACTTAGTTTTTCATATAAAGACAGACCAAAAAGGAAGATGGGATTAGATCTTTTTGGCAGAAGTCGGGACCAAGCAGATATGAACCAAGTGGCAATCTCAGTGAGTCAAGTTGGAGAGTGATGTATTGATATGATTATTTACAGAGATGGCTTTAACAATCAGACTGCCTCAGGTCTGTTGTGTGTCTGGAAACACACAATGTGTCATCGGACTGTTTCTAGTGTTCAGTCACAACGTGAGAGTA